ATCGGAAGAAATTCGAAAAGAAAGAATTTTAGGGTTTCGAAGGGATTAGGGCTCGAATGGGGGGAGAGAGCTAAAGACTGATTATATGAAAACCGAGATTTTATAATTTCGTTCGGTTTAATCATTATGATGTGGATATTTCGCTCGGTTTAATCATGTTGACCTGGACGAAATTCCGCTCGGTTTATCCAACATGGCATTCCGTCTATGCCACATCAACATTTTTCGTCAGAGTTTAGCGATCTTAAGAAGACGTCACATATGAGGATTAATCATTTAACGGTATTCGATTACATGTATTTTTTAATCAGTTTTTAAAAATATAAGTATTATTCAATAATTAAAAAAGTACATGTATTAAATTGAGATCAGAGAAAAATACAGTTATTTTACGACGATTCTCCCTTTATTTTTTTATAAAGTTTTGTTATTTGGTTTCGTACTATGTTTTTTTTTTGCGCATGCAAAAAACATGAACTTATCAAAGACAATTTCAATTGGTTGTTTAAGTCTAGAGGTCAAATTAGCACATCTACGTGAAAAACAAGACAGAGGTTAAGATAGCTAAATGCAACCTTAACCTAATAATCCTACAAAAAAAAAACCTTAACCTAATAACTAATTGCATTTTTTTTACAAACTGTTAAGACAGGGCATTTTTTAAAACCAAACTAATGGAATATAAATCAAATTAGAATAATTAAATTTAAAGTGATTTAAAGAAGAAAAAATTATAATTATAATATTATTTTTATACAAGCAGAATTTAGAGCAAATTCGAAAAAACAATGTGAATCAAATAAAAAAAACAGTATAAACTAATTTTTATTATTTAAGAAAATATGATTAAAAGATTACCAAAGAACATATATATGTATTCCTAATTAATTCGATTACATTCTTCATATTCTATCAAATCAATTTTTTTCTATAGTTGTGAAATTAGATTATGTGCTATATTACTATTCGAACTCCTATATGTTGGAGCATGTGGCAAATTTGAAAATTTTACACTTAAATTCTTAGAAAGTTTATTAATTTATATAATTTTAAAGATACAAAAGGAAAAGAAGAAGACTGAAAATGAGTCGATTATGTTTCTATTATTTCTTTAGTTATCGATTACTATTTTTACTATTTATTTAGTAATTAGAATGAGAAAATACTATGTCGTTATCACAACATATGTCCCAAAAGTTTCCTATTGAGAAATTTAAGTCGAATATTAGACTTTGATGTAACTTTATTGAATATCCGATAAATAACTTGAATTTCTTTAATTGAAATATTAAAATAGTCAATATTTAATTCCTTTTTTTTTAATATAAAACGTGCATATGATCTGATACATAATAATTAATGTATAAGGCAGGAAATAAGTATCCAATCAAAGTTCCATTTTTTGAGAAATTCAATACCCGTCTAATGTACGTATCAGAAAATAAATTAAAGTAGATGAATTTATCATTAATATATTCAACATGTGTGTGTGTTTGTGTGTTTATATTTAAATACTCAAAATAAAAATAATAACCAAATTAAAATTATATTCGCATTTTGATGTAATTCCGAAACATAACTATGAGTTTTTAGCGTTCGACGCATGATATTACCATTAAAAAAAACTATATGTTGAAGCTCGAAATTTGAAAATACATATTTTGATTTTTATTAATATTTGTGCCAATCTATATTATCGATGGAGACGTCCACATGCGAAACGATATATGTATGCTGTAAATGGTGGTTTTACGAAGAAAGACAATTTAGTATAGTATTTCATGGGAGATTAATTTAAAAGTGTTGACGTGACATAGATACTTTTTTTAGGAAAAATTGTATACAAAAACCTAAACTTTTGCCAAATTTTCGTATAAATATCTGAAGTATAAAATTTTTATATAAATACCTGAACTTTTAAAATTTTCACATAAATATCCAAACTTTTGAAAAACTCTCAAATAAAACCAAAATCTATTAACGATGTTTATTAATTTATAAAAGAATCCGTCAAAAATTGATGGCTTAACATTCTGACACGTTAAACACCGTAACCAATATTATTTAATTTGATATATCAATTTCAAAAGTTTGGGTATTTTGTGATAGTTTAGAAAAATTCAAGTATTTATATGAGAATTTTATAGTTTTGGTATTTATCAGAGAATTTTATAAAAAATCAGGTACTTATATACAATTTTCTTTTTATATATATACACACTTTTTTTTATATAAAAAAGGCAAAATCGCATATAAATAACTAAACTTTTACAAAAATCTCAGATAAATACCTGAAATATAAAATTTTCATATAAATACCTAGACTTCTGAAAAACTTCCAAATAAATCTAAAATCCGTTAATGACATCATTTATTTTTATTTGAAAAATACCTAAAATTTTTATTTATTTGGAAAAAAATTTCAAAAGTTTTAGGTATTTATATAGAATTTTAAAAGTTCAGGTAATTATATAGAAGTTTTATAGTTTAGATATTTATCTGGAATTTTTATAAAAGTTTATGTATTTATATGTTATTTTTCCTAAAAAAAATCGTGGTTAGGATAATATAGAAAGAAAATGCGGACAATATATACATATATACGTATATTATATAATATGTTTTTTATTTATGCTTTAATTAGTTTCTTTCGATATTTTATTATATTATATGTTTATATGAATCTATTTGAAAATAAATGATTTCAACAGTTTTTTTTGTTTTTTTATGAAATGTTTTCTTTTAACATCAATAATTCGACCCCTACCAACACGGAAAAAAATCATTGATTCATATCTTATTTTTTTATGAAAAAAGGTTTTTTGTTTGTTCACGGTAGGTTGAATAATACTCGTTAAAGAAAAAATAAACATTGGTTAGAAACACCAAGTTATACATAGCTAAAGTCCTTTTCAAGTTGCTGTGTTATCTTTGAGTCCTAATATCATTTTTAACAATAAACATGTATGTATATATGTATATGTATATTTCAAAACTACTTTATATACACTTTTATTCATTTATCCATACATCTTTATTTTTCTATCAATTAATAATTATTTAATATTTTATATTAAATAAATAAAAAATTATATAAAATCTGATTTCATTTGTTCATGTTTGTATTTCCTTTTCTCTAATATAGCTTGAATTTTCTAAAATTTTAACTATATATAGTTAATTATTTTTTAAAATATGATGATAATTTTTTATTATTTTTCTTTCCTAATATTGTTTTGTTTTTTCACTTCATTTGTATTTTATTCAGAAATATATTTTATTTTTTAGAATTATTTAGTTATTATGAAGTTTTAAATAAGAAGATATATATATATATATAATACATATATAGTAGATAATTTATCACAATAAAATAATAATTTATTATTATTTTTAAATAAAAACTGTATTTTTATTTTAAAAATATTACTTTCAATACATCTTTATATATTTTTCTTTTTAGTTAGAATGTGAATTTATTTTTCTAATTTATTACGTGTCTTTTAGTTTTATGAGTTTTCCATTTTAAAATAACAAAATATATGACATTTCGAAATTAGATAATGTTTTTGGTGGCGATATCATGTCTCCTAATTTTTCCTAAATATGAGTTTTGTTTCCACATCTAATTGACATAACATAATTATCCTTCACCCATGCCATGCAATAGAAATAATAATAATAATTGAACCGTCACATGCTAACCAACGATGCCGGTAATTTCAAAATCCACGTGTACATCCCCTCCCTCACCCTTATATATACCCATCTACTCACTTCCTCCTTTTCCACAGCTTCCGGCTCCTTACGCCTTTCTCTCTTCCGCCGGAAAATCCCTCCTCCGCCGTCGATGGATGTCCGCCGGAGAAATGCTTCCAAAGCCTCCGTCCATGGAGACCACGTCACTGGCGGCGTCGATGCCCCTTCCAAGGCCTCCGACGCGTTTCCCCAGGTTCCCCTCCCGTTGTCCCTCACCAACACCATTTTCCTCTCTCTCTTCTTCGCCGTTGTTTACTTCCTCCTCAGCCGGTGGCGCGAGAAGATCCGACGGTCAGCACCTCTCCACGTCGTTGATCTCTCTGAGATCCTCGCCATCATCGCCTTCGTCGCTTCTTTCATCTATCTCCTAGGTTTCTTCGGCGTTGACTTTGTTCAGGCTCTTATCTTCCGTCCTTCCTCTGACGAAGACGTTTGGGCATCTGACGACGTCGATCGGCTCGTTCTCAAGGAAGATTCCAGGAAGATTCCGTGTGGGCAGTCCCTGGACTGCTCGATCCCTCCTGTTCTTCCGATTAAACCTAAATCCGTGGATCCACCTGTGCAAATGGGGCTAGATTCCGAAGAAGACGAAGCGATCGTCAAATCGGTTGTCGATGGTACGATCCCGTCCTACTCATTGGAGACGAAGCTCGGAGATTGCAAGCGAGCGGCGGCGATCCGTCGAGAGGCGTTGCAGAGGACCTCCGGGAAATCCCTAGCGTGTCTTCCATTGGACGGATTTGATTACGAGTCAATATTAGGGCAGTGCTGCGAGATGCCGGTGGGTTATATCCAGATTCCGGTGGGTATCGCCGGTCCTTTGTTGCTCGACGGAAGGGGATATTCGGTGCCGATGGCGACGACGGAGGGCTGTTTAGTCGCGAGCACCAACAGAGGCTGCAAGGCCATCCATTTGTCCGGCGGAGCCGCCAGCGTCCTCCTCAGGGACGGCATGACCAGAGCCCCCGTCGTCAGGTTTCCCTCCGCCATGAGAGCTGCTCTCCTGAAGTTCTACGTGGAGGATCCTGCCAATTTCGAGACTTTGTCCATCATCTTTAACAAGTAAAGCTACAGTTTCATGCATTTGTTGGAATTCAAAAAGCTTTTTTCCTTTTGAGATAGTGATGTTTTTTTTTGGTTAAAGGTTGTTTGATAGTGATGTTTTTTATTTGACCCGTTTCTTTTTTCTTTGAATAGATCGAGTAGATTCGCCAGGCTTCAAAACATCAAATGCGCCATTGCAGGGAAGAATCTGTATATGAGATTTTCATGCAGTACTGGTGATGCTATGGGGATGAACATGGTTTCCAAAGGTGTACAGAATGTCTTGGACTTCCTCCAGAGCGAGTTCCCTGACATGGATGTTATGGGCATCTCTGGTATCCATCTGTTCGTTCTTCCTCCCTTGTGTTTCTCCAATTTCTGAGTTAAAGTCAACTCTTTTGACGGCGTCATGGGTTCTGGTTATGCTCAGGAAATTATTGTTCAGACAAGAAACCTGCGGCCGTGAACTGGATCGAGGGCCGTGGTAAATCCGTTGTGTGTGAAGCTGTGATTAAGGGTGAGATCGTGAAGAGGGTGTTGAAGACGAGCGTCGAGGCTCTTGTGGAGCTGAACATGCTCAAGAACCTTACGGGTTCAGCCATAGCCGGAGCTCTCGGTGGTTTCAATGCTCATGCCAGCAACATCGTTACGGCCATCTACATAGCCACAGGCCAAGACCCTGCTCAGAATGTGGAGAGTTCTCACTGTATCACCATGATGGAAGCTGTTAATGATGGCAAGGACCTCCACATCTCCGTCACAATGCCTTCCATCGAGGTGATTCACTCTTTCTGCATATTCCATCTAGCACAAGAGCAAGCTGTTTTTGCAAATCCAGTGAGCTACTGTTCTGGAAACCCACTGGTCAAATTTGATTAGAAGTTGAATCTAAATCTTTGACTTGGGATTGGGAATGATTAGCCAGATGTTCTTGAAATTTTCTGCCATTAGCCGCCAACTGGGTTCCCTTTTTGGATTTGGAAACTCATAAAAGTTGATTGATCAATCCGGTTTTACAGGTTGGTACGGTCGGAGGTGGAACACAACTTGCATCTCAATCTGCCTGTCTGAACCTGCTCGGTGTAAAGGGTGCTGACAGAGACACGCCCGGTTCAAACGCAAGGCAGTTGGCGAAAATCGTGGCCGGTTCTGTCCTGGCCGGAGAGGTTTCGCTCATGTCTGCTCTTGCGGCGGGACAGCTCGTTAAGAGCCACATGAAGTACAACCGGTCCAGCAGAGACGTAACGAGTACCGCCGCCCCTTCTTCCTAGGTCGAGAGAGATCATAACGTCGGATATATTCTAAAGAGGATCTCAGATAAATTTTCCATACATAAGATTCCGAGAGAGAGAAAACTGATGGAGGAAAGGGATCACCTTTAATTTTAAACCAAACCCAATAATAGCCAGACTCAATTTGGTTGCTCCTATCATGTTGTACCTCGGATCGTATCTTGTCGAGTTCTTTGTTCGGTTTCCTGTTCTTATGTACTCAGCCGTCGAATTGTATAAATGATGCAAAGTGTTAGTAAAAAAATAGGTTCTTTGCCTTTCAAACTCCGAGTTTATCGGACCCTTGTTTTTTTTTTTTTGCAATCTAAGTGTTTTGAATCAAGGTTCAGGTACACATGTGATTTGAAATATATATCTCTCTCTAGATTTGAGGTTCAAACTCGGGACGAAATAAACGATTTGCGTTTCCATTTCACCACTTGGACTATCCAAGTTTCGATCGTGTTTCGTTTTTACTTTCTTGGATTGTTTACCGTCAGAGAAAATGTTTTCTTTTAGATTTCTCCTAAAGTGATTCTTTGCCTGAAAATTGAAGATTTTGAAAAATCTCAACTGTTTTTTTGAAGTAGAAGATGAATCTGAAAAACTTGAAAATTGTTTATAATAAGTGAATTATATTGAAAAATAAAATACAGAAATAAAAATGAAAAGAAAAAAAAGAATTTTTTTCATTTTATTGGTACACTTTTAAAGATTTAAGAAAGAAATTACAAAAAAAAAAACCGGATATTATTAAATCCATATTTATTTTTTATTTAAGCAAAGGTGTACTTGTCCTGTGACTTTATTTTGAGTTGAATATTATCTTGGTTTAATCTCTGCTTTTTTTGGTCAATGTCACGTGGTTCTTATTTGTTTCATTTCCAATTTGATTGAGCTTTGAGTTTTCTCTTATTGTTCCTTGTCTGTTCAAAAAGACTGTTGCGAGTAAACGAGATGGAAATCAATTCCCAAACTTTGAAAACGCAACATTTTTGGCTGAACGTCCGAATTTGTTGACTTTAGGGATGCAGAAGGGACGCCAGACCGATGGTCGGTTCGTCAGCCAACTTGTTTTTATCGAGTCGAGTTGAAAAAAATATGAGAATAAAAGATTCGGCGAGTCAGTCCATCATGGATCAACTCGCCGACCCGTTCACGAACCAGAAGTTTTTTAAAATTATTATTTTTTAATTATTTTTACCATTTTTAATATTATTTTTTAAATTTTTTATTATTTGTAAAATATTTTTTTATTCTTTTATTCCGTTCGTGCGTCGACTTACAAACTAAAGCGATCTCGATCGAGTCAAAAATTTTCTAACTCATGAAAAATAAACTGCAGATGAATCGAGCCCAAACGGTTGGTTCTGAACGAGTCATATTGGACCGGATCGAACTGATCCGTTTTACATCCTAATTTACAGTCCTAATTGAAATTATTTAAAAAGACTCCTCTTTAGGATCCTAACGATTCAAATACAATGCATATCGGTATGAATCCATTATAAAATTATTATATACTCAAAACAAATCTTTAAAACCCAAATGTAAAACTCTTTTATCTCGAGAGAAAAAAAAATTCTTGCAAAATAATAAACGAATAGGGAAAATCCCCAAAAAAATATCTAAATTTCTCAATTTTTACAAAATAAAATTTTAATTTTATTTTCTGATAAATAAAATTTCAAATTGATTTATGAGTTATAAATAAATCTAAACTTTATAACAGTTGTCATTTTTAAATTCATCATTGATGTGACCTACCAATATGTGACATGTGGATGATGACATATCAAATATGGTCAAAATGTTGATTTATCACATAGATATTGATACGTCATGTCAACATTTAGGTTTAAAAATGACAACGATTATAAAGTTTGGATTTATTTTCGATTGAAGAATAAAGTTGAAATCTTATTTGATAAAAAAATAAAATTTAGGTTTTATTTTATAAAAAAAAAGAGAAATTTAGGTACTTTTTTAGAATCTTCCCAAACTAATACGATGTGGGATTGCAATCGTAAACTAGTTAATAAATGGGATTAGCATGAGATTAATAATAAATTAGTGTGAGAAAGGGGGTCATATCACATGGCCTTTTGTTCGTTCCCGTACCATATTAGTGGGAATATAATATGAGATTAATTAATTATATAATTCATCGCAGAAAGCTAAATTATAATTTAAAGTTTTTTTTGCTTTTGTCGTTTTCCGACATATTTTTATCATTTGTTTATTTGAAAGCTGTGTACTTCAAAATGCTAATGATGCCATTTAATTAAAGACGCTCTCCCTCAGCTGATTGAACATCTAAACGGTTTGTGTAGCATATTTTCTATATCATATTCAATAAGAACATTATGTACATATCTAATAAGGAAAAAGGCCATAAGTTTCTTTGAAATAATATTTTTATCTATAAAATCTGAACCCATATAACATAAAAACTGAATAGTTATAGTTTTTTAAAACGAAATAAACGAGTTCGAATATAATCAAACCGAATCCGAATGATTATCCCCGGGATTGGATACTGGATCTAATTTATAACGCATCCCAAGTCGATAATTTATATAATTTCATCATTGGTAAGACCAAATGATAGTGTTCTAATTAGTGACGATGAAAGTTGTATGAAGAACGGGGTGTTGCATTCTGAAGGCATGCATGCATGCTGTGTGTGTAACCGAGATTAATTAGTCTAATCATAGTTTCGAGATTAAAATCAATAATATATGCATTTACAATAAAGTTTAAATGGTTATAAGTATATATATATATAGGGGGGGCGAAAATCAAAGAAAAAATGAAATAAAAATTTTAAAAGCATCAACGTATTTTTTTTTATATGTAATGTGATTGCGAATTAGAAAAAAAAAGGCATCACCGTATAGAGTTAACGAATCGAAAGGTTCGTACATATCCACACAGTGACAGATCGCAATACAAAGCAATGAGAAAGCGAAATGGTAAAAAAAAATCAAGAAAATTCCAAAACAAGTCGTCCTAATTCTGTCCCATCTCGAGATAAAAGCGAAAAATCTTTACCTTCGCATGCATCGTTGTCCATTTATTTATATATATATAAAAAGAAAATGGTGATGCAAATTATAATATTATCAAGTATGATTGTGTGTGTGTGTGTATATATATATATATATATATATCTCATAAAATCGTAAAACCGAACCCGTTGTAGGGTAAAAAGAGACGCATTTCAATGCATTTACACAAATCTTATCATTAGCCAGAAAATATCTATAATTGGGGTAAGATATATGGTAAAAAATATATTATAAATATATCATTAGTTGAAATGTGCAAATTCGTAATATACAATATCATTATATAATATACATTATCCATCGTCTACACGTCACATTGTTAGGATAATTTAATCTTAAAACTCATAAAGCTACCATATCATTTGATGTGGAAGTAATTAATAAGTATAAAATCAATGCATCGGTAATATTTCATGATCTAATGATCATCATATATATATTTATTAGATATGTATAGATCTAGGTTTTGATTATTGTGTTGCATATAAAATTTAAATTTGAGATTTTTTTTTTAAAAAAAAGAATAGGCATTTGTAATTAAGCAGCACAAATACATGTAATTAAAAATCATTAATTGTACGAATGAAGGCAAGTCATATATGATCTGCAAGCTGCTTGAAACCGAACAGAGAATTAGGTGACCGAAGAACAGGTTTTGACTTGAAAACTTATCCATCATTCAACATTCATCAATCATCATCATCATCATCATCACATATACACATTATAGTTAATTAGATAGATAGCCGCCTGTTTTTGAAAAACCCACCATCATATATATGACCATATCCCTTCACAATCACAAAAGCTAATACTCCACCTCTTCTTTTTCTTTCCTTCCTCAGCTTTAGTATTGAAAATCTACACGTTATTGATCTTTCCTCTCTCTCCTCTCTCTCTATACATATACACTGATATATATATATATATGTATATAATATACTTCTCTTCCCCAGATTCCTTTGTTTCTCGCGGAATTAACCCATCAATCTGTGCATAGCCTCCCACTTCTAAGACGTCTATATCCATGGAGTTTTTTCTGTCAAAAGAAAAAGAGACAGTACTCCCTCTTTAAACTAATAATTATCCCCTATGTTAAAATATTCCATTGGTTTTATAAAATAATATATATATATATATTCCATTGGGTGAAACGTTGTATATATATATATATGGTATGAGAGTTTTGCCACTCTTCTAGGTTTACGTTCTTGGGTGAAGAAGTGCTTTCTTTTGTTGCCTTTATTCATTTCCTTCCCACGAAGATCTGCATCTCTTTGTCCTTGCACTTAATCTTAATTTACCCACTTTCAGATTTCTCTATACTTCACTTCTCATATTTAATTTCTTTTATTTATTTGTGTTTATATTTAGTATTACCTTATAATATATAGATCACCATTTTCCTGATCATCATCCAAAAAAAAAAAAGACAACTCGTTGGAGTGTAGATGTCTGGTTTGGAATCAAACACGGGTCGTCGCTATGTGCATCCACTTCTAGGGCAAGATCCCACCACTCCGCCTCCTTTGGATAATCATCACCACATGGACCAACGAAGCGAATCCACCGCCGTCACTCCCACCGCCTCCGCCTCCTCCTCCGGTCGTGGTCGCCGGCCACGTGGACGGCCTCCGGGCTCCAAGAACAAGCCCAGGCCTCCGACAATTATCACCAGAGACAGCCCTAATGTCCTCAGATCCCACGTCCTTGAAGTCTCCTCCGGCTCCGACATCGCCCACGTCGTCTCCACCTACGCCAGCCGCCGCGGCTGCGGAGTCTCCGTCCTGGGTGCCTCCGGCGCCGTCACGAACGTCACCGTTCGTCAGCCTGCGGCGGCGGGTCCCACGCTGCACGGCCGGTTCGAGTTACTTTCCCTGACCGGAACGGTGCTTCCGCCGCCGGCTCTTCCCGGCGCCGGAGGCTTGACGGTGTATCTGGCCGGAGGTCAGGGGGAGGTAGTCGGAGGGAATGTGGCGGGGCCGTTGGTGGCGGCGGGTCCGGTGGTTCTGATGGCTGCGTCGTTCGCCAACGCCGTGTACGATAGATTACCGATGGAGGAGGCTGAGGAGACGCCGGCTGCGGTGGCGCAGTCATCGGAGGTGACGGGAAGTGGGGCCCATGTGGGAGAATCCAGAAGCGGAAGTGGTTTCTATAGTTTGGGAATGAATATGGGCAGTTATCAATTCTCCGGCGGCACCGGTGGCGGTCAGAGACCAGCGTTCTAGCGTTAGCGTTTAGTGCGACTCTTGTCTGTTGGAATCTTTTGCGGTTGCGGTTTGGGATTAGGGTTTTCTACTTGGGGTGTTCTTTTGTGGAAGAAGACGATTTAATTTGGTTTCGAATAGAGATTATTATTTGTTTAGGTTTAGGACAATATAGTTTCTTTTTCTTTTTTATTTATATTGTGAAGAAATCATGAGTGATCACCGAATTAAGATTAGGGTTATATATATATAGTTTTAGTTATTGCTGAAACATAATCTAACTTAAGAACAGATTGTGCTCTAATGATCGAGTTCGTGGGGTACTAAATCATGTTTACCAATTACATAGTAAGTTTTTATTCAATGATCTTGAAAGATTATAAGCAGAAATATCTTGTACATGAAATTCTAATAATTTTTCTCTGTGTGAACATAATTATAGCGTGAGAGAACAAACTAAGAAATCAATTAGTAATGTAATAATTGTTGGTATTTCAGAGTAAACGGTTGATTGGTTTTAATCTCTCATGGAATTCATGATGCATGTGTATATATTACGAGTATGGAGAAGGAGTAAAATACTTGTAAAAGACGTGTTGTGAATTGTTTTAAAGTGTTATGATGCGTCGGAAAAGGTTACGTTTGGTTTAGGACGTGAAAAATGATCTCAGAAAAAATGGGAGGGCAGCTCGAAAATGTGGACGGACAACCTGTTTTTTCTGAGGGATAAAGCTCGAATAAACGGTTGGTATCTCTAATAAACGAGCGGGTAGCCCGTTTTTTCTGAGCGACTGTTTGAGCGAAAAGTCGCGACCGATCGACGAAAACTTCCGAGTTTTTATGTCTTTTCGACGTTTTGGTGTTTATAAACACACTAAAGACCATATAACACGAAGAAGAATAAAAAAATACGAATTTGTGACAAGATCCAAGTGATTTTATGAGAGATTTGAGTGTTCTTGCGGATAGTTTTTCTGCAGAAAAATTATCGCAAGGGTCTTTTTGTTTTCGGTTAAACAAGGTTCTGTTTGATGATTATCGGAAGGGTAAATCGAAATCATTGTCGTTTCATTGTATCTCAAAAATGTATTCCTGTAATCCTATTTACCCGGTAGGGATGGAATAACGCTTTTAGGAAAGTGTATCACGCATTGAAGTTATATCTGGTTCCCTACTGTTTCATACGTGTTTTGATAGGTTGAAAACATGATTATCAGATCAGATTGAAGTCGTCGTCTTACCGGGGTTACGTATAAGTGTTTGTTATTTATTTAAACTCCTACAATAATATCTTTGAGATGGGGAGAAATTGAAATTGAAGAACCCTAATTTCGACGAATGAAGACACACAGACATCAGACATGTTCTCTCTGGTCTCTGCAGCGTTGGAACTTCAAAGTAAGCATTGAAACTTGAAAACAATCTGCATGCACATGCATGCAACTGTGTGTACTAGTGCAGTCTCTCTCTCTCACAATATCCCCTTAAATATATATCAATTTGTTTTAAAATAAATAAATAAATTCGTTGTTCAATTTCCTCCTCAATTTGATATATGTTTTAGGGTTTTGATTTTATCAATCTTTTGATGGCGCTGTTCGTTTCAAACAGGTCCGAGTCGGATCGAAACTGACTTGTATTGAACCGAAACGAATCATATTATCATCTAATTTTATATAAGTTTTGTAAAATCGAATAAACCGTTTTCGAATTGATCAACCCGATAAATACCGAATCGAATTCTAAAAATACCAAATTAAAATCCGATTTTTACATCTTTATATATATGAATACATATCCGAATATTAAATTTCAGTTTTTATTTGATACTCAAATAGCATAATCATGTCGAACTGAACTGAAACTCAATCGATTAACATTTAGATTTATTTAGATATATTTTTTATAAAACCGAATAAACCGTTTTGAAACCGAAAAAAATAGAAATGAAATCCAAAACGCTCACAGTGTGAATAACAGAAGTCGCTAACATATCCTTTTTCATTTCAAATTATCCATTCATTATAGTATGTAACCTTACTATTATTTTAGACAACCCCATTAATTTTTTTGCCATTATATATATATATATATATATATAGGTAAAATAGTAAACTTAAAAATTCGTAAGTACACGTCGTGCATTCACGGCGTTGTGCTAAAAAAAAGGTAAAGTAAAATACCCTGTGATGATCAGAGGCAATATTATAAAACATCAAAATTAATAACGAACGAATGAGAATCGAATTTACTGCAGAATATTGTTTTTGATAAGTATCTAATTCTAAGTGGAAACTGATAAAATGTTCAAAACCTAACGAAACCTTCAGACTGTCTCCAATCCAACGAAACAAATTTCATTTATTTTTAGGAAAAAAAATTTAAACTTTTCAATTTTGATAAAAATACTATTTTTTTTTATTTTATCAAATAAAAATTAAATTTTTTTAAATTTATCAAAAAAATATTTAACTCTTCTATGATTATCAAAATAAACAAATGAACTGACATGATATAAGGAGAGGGAAACACGTCAAATTATTGTCGTTGGTTTTTTTTTATAATTGTATATAGTTTGAATCATTTGAAAAGTTTAGTATTTTTTTTTGACAATAACATAAAAATTTATTTATTTTTTTATATCATTTAAAAAATTTAGTTATTTTTTGATAAAAATAAAAGGGAACTAAAAAACAAAGGAAATTGCATAATCGGATCCATCTTCAATAGACCCGACCCGGATCCGAAATTCCAAAAAGTAAATTACCATTTACCCCTAACACAATGGCAATATGCGGGAAGGGGAAGAAAGAAACCAATTTCCTTTCTTCACGATAATCTGCTTGAGGTGCGATCTCCTAGGAACCAGTGCTACAGGTTTGTTTCGTCTGATTTACGAAAATCATGGTAAGAATCGGCACCCCTCTTCGCATTCGACTCGTGCGTTTGTCTGTCTTGTAATTCGGATCCACCTTCGATTTTCTGATGCAAATGTGTATGCGATTTTTCCGTGAAGCTACTGCTCTTGAATCTGATTTTTTCATCTCTGGTTTGTTTCTGTTTATTGTGATTCAATTCGATAATGTGATTGATTCCATTGTAATTTTGTGTTGGTTTTCTTCTCGGATCTGCCACGCGCTTGCTTTTGTTTTCTTTAAACGCCATTTCCCCCCTCGTGTATCAATAGGTCGGTGTGTAGGGCATGATGGATGGTTCTTGGTTTGTGTATGGCAAGTTACAATGTTAGGGTTCACCCGTCAATAACTCTTTTGCTTGAATTTGTTGAGAGGTAGAAATTTGGTTCCTTTTTTCGACCTAATGGAAGTTCACTCCTACCTCGTTTGGGCTACCATTGAAGTTCAGGCAAATTTTGTTCTCTTCTGGGTTTGATAGTTTGTTCTATGGCCTTACCTTTGGTTTTGATTGTGGTGCGTATGTTGAGAAAATATGTGGTTGACTTGTCCTTCCTTTCTCTTGGTTTCCTCTATGTTAAGAAAATTTTGTTCTCTTCTTGAGTTTTGGGGCTTAATCTTCCATGTTCCCTTCTTATTGTTTACTCATGCGCTGTCCTTTGTAAGCTTTTTTTAACTATGTAACCTTTCCTGCTCTGATGATTGTAGTTGGTCTGATAGAATCCATTGTTTGCTCAAAACGAATCTCGTAAATCCTGGAAGTACAGTATGTATAGGCTTTTTCTTGGGTAGTTTAGTATGTAGGCAGAGGCTTTAGTTTTGGAAGGATATCTCTTCGTGATTTTAGAGCCTGGCTTGAGTATCACCGCCATATTAATAGGATTAAACATGTATACTTGATAGTCAGATACATGCAAAAACATTTCAGGCCGTGGAATGTTATGCGTAACGATTTAGTAGAGTCAAGAGCGATTCCCATGTTGCGTCGTGCTTTCTCCAATCATTAGGGTTTTATCCCGGGCGAGAATCGTAGGTATTAATCATAAAATAACGATGTGTATTTCAGATACATTTTGTGCTTCTAGTTAGTCGGCAAGGAAAGGTGAGGCTCACCAAATGGTATTCGCCTTATACGCAGAAGGAAAGATCTAAGGTATTTTCAGCCTAAATGGTATGAATATCAAGTTATTGAGCTTCATCCCCAATTATCCTCTGTTAACATTTCGTCTACATTGTAAAAATGGTATATGAAAGGTTATACGTGAACTCAGTGGGGTAATTCTGAACCGAGGTCCCAAGCTCTGCAATTTTGTCGAATGGAGAGGATACAAGGTTGTCTACAAAAGGTAACAATCCAAGTTCATGATTGTACTGTCAAATATTTTCTGGCTTGATAAAACACTAGATTACATAAATGGTTGCTGTGTGTTTTATGCAGATATGCGAGTCTGTACTTCTGCATGTGTGTTGATCAGGACGACAATGAGTTGGAGATCCTTGAGATGATCCATCACTATGTTGAGATACTTGACCGCTACTTTGGTAGTGTGAGTAAAACCTGTATCCAGAACTTGTACTCTCTCTATCTCCCATGTATAGCAATTATAACTTCTACAATTCGATTCTGAATGGTTTATCTGTGACTCAGGTGTGTGAACTGGATTTGATTTTTAACTTCCACAAGGTATGCATGCCAACCGAGGCATGAACTCTTTCTCGGTAAACAAATTTTCTGTAATTTTTTTCATCCATTATTTCATTACTACACTTTGGGCTTGTTCTTGTGCTGCAGGCGTATTATATACTGGATGAGCTCTTGATTGCTGGTGAACTTCAAGAGTCAAGCAAGAAAACAGTAGCTAGGATTATATCCGCTCAGGTGAGTACTTTATTGCCAGTGAAATATTGTCTTTTTATATAAAATATAATCTTTTTAGGCTTTCGATGATGCTTTATGTCATGACATTGAAGGATCAATTGGTGGAGGCTGCGAAAGAGGAGGCCAGTTCAATAAGTAATATAATCGCTCAGGCTACCAAATAGTTTCTTTCTTGTTTGCTCATATGTGGTAAACATGTTTGCGTTGTGCTCTCTCTCTCTATCATTTCTTTCTTTCTTTTCGAGGAACTTCCTCTCAAAATCACAATTGGACTAGATCGATGAATAGTTTGCTATGTTTGATCCTGTTTGTAAACAAGAACGCAGAGTTTATATCGTAAGAGAGATGTTGCGAGTAATCTCTTTCTACATATTATTATCCGGTTACATTGTTTTATTGATCATCCAAGTGATACAACTATCTCATACCACTCTCCATCACTACCCTGCATTTTATTGCCGTCTATGGTTTAACAGTGGAAGCAGATAGGTAGCCTTGCTCGAAGAACGATGCAACACAGTCATCAAACATCTCCTCAAGAGGCTTGAACTCGAACCCGAGGCTCTTAATCTTTGAGGTATCGAAGTCATAATGCAGCCTGTTCAGTTTCTCAAACCTGAAAAAATAACAAAGATGAGATTTGTGCCTGCAAATGGTTTCGGGGTAATGCTCGGAATTAGGGTTTAAGTCCCGCTCCGTGAGAGCTAACCTTTTGGGAATGGGAAGAGAAGCGTAGCGAGTGGACAAGAAGGAAATTAGTTCCTCGAGGTCGACTATGGTTGAGCTGCAGATGTAGCGGCCATGAGCCGCCTTATGCTCGTAGACTAGGATGTGGGATCGTGCCACATCGTCTATGTGGACATATCCCATTCTTCCATGCCATTGGAACTTCTCTGTTTCTCCTGTTGATGTTCATCCACAGGTATCATATTCCTAGATTGGATGCGATATTGTCCGATAGAAACAGCAAATCCGAGGACATGGAGAGAGAGGAAGAGACTACCTTTCAGCAAACCGAGGACATCAGAGGCCGTGGAACAAAGATCCGGAGGCAGGCTCGGTCCTATGAGAAAGGCTGGCAAGACAGTGACAAGGTCGATGCCATTGTCGTGGCAGAACTTCCATGCAGCTTGCTCGGCTAAGGTCTTTGACAAAGCATACCAGATCTTTTGTAATGTCCCCATCATATTGTATGCCATTCAAACATATCAGAACTGTTAGCTTACATGTTACGTTTTTTTTTTCTAAATTTTTGTCGGTTAACCTGTCTATGCAGATGATGACCCATCTATTAGATTATTACCTGGAGGCTCTGGCAGAGCTCAACAGAGGTCCAAGATGATTCATCGAGAGGGACTTTTGGATCAAAATCATCTCTGATCCTCACCGTCGAAGAAGAAGAGGTGATAACCACTCGCCTTATTGATGGGTTTTTCCTGCATGAACGCAGAACATTGAGTGTGCCCTCTATAGCCGGCTTCAAGATCTCCTCCTATCGAATTCATAAGAACAGAAATTAGCGAATAGAGAATCCCGAGGTTTTGGTATGGAGAGGATTAAGTCGAGAGATGTGCCTGTGGATCAGAAAAGGGTTTGAGAACAGGAGAAGCAGTGTGAAAAACTCCATGGCATTCCATTATTGCATCATCGAAGCTTCCATCTTCCATTAGGTCGGCTTTCACTAAGCGCAGTCTCTCCTTTGCTCCTTCCAGCTTCCAAAGGTGAGCCAGTTTCTTCTCATTCCCTTCAGAAAAAAGAAATGAAAAGATTTAACATTTAACATTTTTTTGCCATTCGTATAAATCATGAAAAAGGGCAGATTGAAAAACCTGGATCTCTGACTGTTCCGGTAACGTGATAGCCCTCGAGGAGAAGCCGTTTCACGAGCCAAGAAGCGAGGTAGCCCGAAGCACCGGTAACACAGACTCTGTCTTTTGCTTCTTGATCCATGCTTCTTCTCAGGTATGTATGGGATTACACATGGTGAATCTATATATACGTATATATATGCGTGTGTGTGTATATGTATATATGCATGTGTATTCATGCATGGTGAGAGTACAAACTATAAATGTGAGTTAAGGATAGAATAGGTAGGTCATCCATCCCATGTGAGGCTACTCACTTTCACTGTCCTAAAATTGGTTTAGGAAGTGTGTAGTCTAACTGGTAACAATCAGCTCAGTTCAGCTTCTGCTTCTGTTCGTGTTTAGATCGAAATCTGCAGAAAATTTTCACTCCGAGCCCTAGATTTTGCACATGTTTTCTTTCCATGATATATATATAGAGAGAGAGAGAGGGGGTGGACGTTTCAGTATTTGGTTCGTTTTTTTGGTTCTACAAAAATATGTACCGATCGGGTTATTATATCATGTTCGGTTCAGTTCGGTTTTGGTAAGTTTGGTTCTCTAAAAAAGTACCGTTCGGGAATTTCAAATGGTTCGGTTCGATTCGAGAACGGTAACAAATATCTTGCTTCGATTCGGGTTCCGAAGAACAAACGTCCAGCCTTAACACCGTTAAGGACAACCTTGTTAAAAATGATATATAATATTCAAAAATATAAATTGTGTTGAATTATGTGAATTCTTTACAACTACAATAATTTATACCTCATTTTATATCATATCTTATAATGTCCTGTTCTATCATATAATCTTATTTTATTGTATAAAAAAAATACGTTTGTGGCATTAGTGAATCGATGGATGTACCACTGGTGGTGGTGAAGATGATGATGATGGTTTGTTCAATTTTTACGTCCCAAATGTTTATAGAAGAAAAGATTCCTACGTCAAACACATTTTTTTTTGTTGCAAAATAATTCCTTTTCCCTGGCCAGTAGAATTATCTGAACCACGGACATTTGGTTAATATCTATAACGATTGTGAATCTGATCTGAATATGAATTTGAATATGTTGACGTAATTACATTTTTTTTTATATTCATTAAATTCTTATTGTGTTTGAAAACATATGTGATGTTTGCAAAATTTAGTGTGCCGATATTTTCTCGAATACATAAGATTTTGGATTTTGAAAAGCATAAATATCTGTCGTTTTTTTAAGCTGTAACTGAATCTGAGATATTGAGATATATATACAAAAAAAACATATTTGGGTATAGATTCAAATAATATATATTTTTTGTTGTCTTGATTAGTGATCACTAGGGTGGTTTATTTGGGTTTTTGTTTGGTTATCGAATTTGGTTATTTCGATTTTGAAAAATATAACTGTTTGATTTTTATATTGAATTCGGGTTCTAGGATTCCTTTTGCATAGGATAAAATAATCATTTTTTAAAAAATTATGATTTTTCGATTATTTTTTATTTGGATTATTCGGATTCGGTTTATTGATTGATTTTATATGTAATTCGGTTCGATTACATGGTTCAAAGGTTATTAATCAAATAATCTCAAGACACGTATTTCATCTTCACCTAATTTCCAGCTCAGCTTGTGTTGTGTGTGGGCCTATGTGGGTCACTACTCAACATTGGGCCGACCTTCAACAATAGACGTAACCGGGTCAAAATCGACCCGTTAGCCCAAAAACCCGTAGTTCCGGGTCAACCCGGTTCAACCTTTAATTACGCCGTACAACTCCATTCCATCGCTAGGTAAAATCGAGAAGCAAGAGTTAAAATCACTTCTCCCCCACGTCGACTTCTCCTTTCACACTTCCCCCTCGAGTTCGAACAGCGGTGCGTTCTAGCTTTTTTTTATTGTTTCTCGGTTATTGTTTACGAATTTCGCATGCTCTTGATTGGTACAGGTATGTTGATCGAGAATTTGTGGAAATTTCGAATTGATTGCGGAGTTAACAGATGGAACTGATCTTAATTGGTTCTTTTCCGACATGATTCTCGATGAATTTCGTCGAAACTGGGTCCTAATTTTGAGAACGGAGCTCGAATTGGGTGAGAGGGATTTCTTGGTTTGGATTCAAAACCAAAAACGAAAAAAGGTTGCCGCTCTTTGCAGGCGGCGACGCATTGCTTTTTCTCTTTCTGTGAAAAGAAAAGGCCGTCGCTTTCTGTTGCCTTCGTGCTTTTAATTGTTTGACGTTTGAAGTTTGGTGCATGTGTGTGGTTTCTGAGCTCCGCACAAGTGAGCTGAGGAGAAAAGCTCGTTCTTTGCTTGTTTGTTTTTTGGGAGTTCAATAACGATTGTGCCGCATTCGTTGTTTTGCGTTCTTTCGGATATGTTTTTTGGCACTTACGTGTGAATTGAATCATTGATTTAGGAGTTCTTCATCGACATGGAATCAACAACCGATCCTACGCCAGAGAAAGGGAGCGAGAGGCTTGAGCAAGACACTGAGAAGGAAAATGAGGATGGAAACCAGACTCAGGATAATGTGAAAGAAACCGAGAACAAGGAACCAAGAGAGGCAGTAGGAGAAGTAGCTTCTGTTGTGGAACATCATGATTCTCTTTGCCCCATGGCTGTTGAGAAAGGTGTTGCTTCTCAAAGTGATAGTGTTGCCATAGAGACTGGAACCAAGGAAGATGTAATGGAAACCGAGAATGAGGATGCAAGAGATGCTGTCAGAGAAGTAGCTTCTGTTCTGGAACATCATGAGTCTCCCTGCCCCATGGTTGTTGAGCAAGGTACTGCCTTTGCTTCTCACGGTGATAGTGTTGCCGTAGAGACTATAACAAAGGATTGTGGCCCACCAAAAATGGATGTTGAAACAACCCATGTTGATGAGAACACTCGATTAGAGAATAATCCATGTCTAAATCCTTCTCCTTCAACAGCTGTAGAACAAACTGAGGTGTCTAGCCAAGAAAGTTTAGATATCTCAAAAAATCGAGTGGATTCTGCCAAGGTCAGTGGAGACACCCCAGCTGCCCATGATAAAACTGCACCAAAACCTGATTCCAAACCTACAGAAGACAAAGCTTCACAAGAACCTGCACTGAAAATCACGGGAGACCACAATAATGATCCTGTCAGGACTGATACCGAAACCATGAAGGAGAATGATAAAAGGATAGGTAAGGTAAACACTGATCATCATCATCATCAAGAAACCAAGACGGATCATGATAAAGGGCCAGAGGTGCCTGGTTCTAGGGTTGTGTTAAATCATGGGAATGAGCCATCCATGCCTGACATGGAAACCTCAACACATCCGCGAAAAGGGCCTGACCTGCCTGTCTCTGAGGCCTCAACAGACATTGACAAAAAGTCTGATGTGTTGGCTGTGGAAGCCCTTGAAGACAATGAAAAAGGGTTTTCTGCCATGCCTGCTACCAAAATATCCTCTGATCATGACAAAGGAATCGATACTCAGGAGGCTGAACCTAGTAAAGATACCAAAGATGGAGTTCCTGATTCTGAAGTGGTTGATGATGTCAATGTTGACTCTGTTGTTTACAAGGATGTCAGTGTTGAGCCTGCCACAGATGCGGAAAAGAAAGATAATTTTGGAGCACTTCAAGGGAAAGATGGTGATTGTGAGGATGCATCTATGAAGCATGATAATTCAGAACCCGGTATTCTTTGTGTTGCAATTTCAGATGTAAAGTCTGAAGAGGGAGGACAAGGAGATTTAAATAATGAGGTCCACAAAATGGACTCAGTGCCTGCTACCTCTGATGGGACCATGGACTTAAAGCATTCTTTCCTCTTGGATGATATGTCTGAGGGGAATGAATCAGGAACAGAAGATGAGCAATCTGCTTTCATGAAAGAACTAGAGAATTTCTTTAGAGAGAGAAACATGGAATTTAAACCTCCAAAGTTTTATGGGGAGGGACTAAACTGTCTTAAGTAAGTTTACTACTTTCTTAATTTTAGCTCTATCATATGATAAATTGCTAAGTTTTCACTTTGTGCTGATTTGTGGTTAACTTGTATGGCACAAGATTGTGGAGAGCTGTTACTAGATTGGGTGGATATGATAAGGTATGCCATCATTTGAATGCATCTGATGAACTTTGCATAGCTTTCATTTTCACAAGCTAACACATCTTTTGCATCTACTCCACCCCTTCTTTTTGCCTCTTGGCATGCATTATGGAGTTTGTTATCTAGCAGCGCATCTTTTTGTGTTATCCTAACACAAATAAATTGCGCTTATACAATGCATAGGTTACTGCCTGCAAGTTGTGGCGGCAAGTAGGAGAGTCTTTCAGACCCCCAAAGTAAGGAAATTAGATTTCAGCCATTTCCTTATGCACCTCTTATTAGTTGATCTTTGGGTCTATCTGTATTTTTTGATTAATTTCCTTTCTGTTGTGCTGTTACACAGGACATGTACAACAGTATCATGGACTTTCCGAGGATTCTATGAAAAGGTGAGAATGAGATTGAGATGTGTCCATTTCTATTTCTGTGCTTTTGGCTTTATGCATTTGGTTTCCACATATCTGCACTAACTTGAGACTCTGCACCTCATTTCCATATGAAAGATACTTTATTTCATTGAATGTTACAAGAAGTGGTGAATGTTCTAAAGGGTACATCTGTCTTAGAACTTTGGACCATCTTAGGTTATTCTACTGGTTTTATATTCTTCAGGCTCTTCTGGAATATGAGAGGCATAAAGTCAATGGAGGTGAACTTCAAATGCCCCTTGCTTCTAATTCAGAACCAATGAATATTGATAGCCAGGTAAGATCCAGGAAAAAAGATACAATAGATTTGTACTTTCAGTTTTTATTTTACCCTTAATATTTCTGTTATAGCTTAACCTGCTACCTTCATTTCCGATTCTGGCACTAGGCTTCTGGGTCAGGTCGGGCTAGAAGAGATGCAGCAGCTCGTGCAATGCAAGGTTGGCACTCGCAGCGTCTTCTTGGAAATGGAGAAGTAAGTGACTGACACTGACTTATTTCATAACTTGTTCATGTCTTTGTATCTGTGATGACATAGTTACAATGCATGGTTTTGTAATTTTTAGGACAAGAGTAGTCCAGTTCCTCAACAGAAGCGCGACAAACAGATAGGAACTCCTGGTATGACTTCTGCGAGATGCGAAAGTGTTAATGCCTTTTCCATTATTTACATCTGGGCTCAGTTTCTTAGCTAGCTCTCACTGATGTCAGCAGGTTTGCTTAAACGCAAGAGATCAGTGCCCACAGAACATGGTGCAAAATCTGGCCACACCCAAGTGTCAAAACCTCTGTAAGTTTCCTGCTCTACTTGTTACTTTATTTTTGTGTGGTACGATGGAAATTCGAGTAATTTGGTTCTTGATGTATATTCTAGGTCAGATGTGACAGTTGTGGATGTCGGGCCACCAGCTGAGTGGGTGAAGATTAATGTAAGGAGGACGGTAAGATCCTTGTCGCCTCACCGAGACTCCGAACATGCATAACCGAGTTTAAATGTGTGTTAAATTAATATACTTTGTCAATATATACACAGAAAGATTGCTTTGAGGTGTATGCTCTAGTTCCAGGTCTTCTCCGCGAAGAGGTCAGTTTGCAGACTCATGAACAGAAAGCTCTCTTCTCCTCTTTGATTGCTCATTCCATTGCCCATCATTAACTCTAGGATTGATCTTAAGCACTTTGCATTTTTCTTTTTTCTCTCTGTGCAACAACAACTCAGGTCAGAGTCCAGTCAGATCCAGCGGGACGCTTGGTTATAAGTGGGGAACCCGAGAACCCTAACAATCTCTGGGGAGCTACTCCTTTCAAAAAGGTATAATATTCCCGCTCGAGATGCTTCATTCTGCATTTTTTCTTGATAATTCCTGCAAACCCATTTGGCTTCCACCAGGGGACACCATCTGAAGCTTGTCCCCGATTAGAAATGCCATGCTTGGTTGGTTGGTTGGTTCTAACTCGCTAGTGAGCAGGTTGTAAGCTTACCCGCTCGGATAGACCCACATCACACATCCGCGGTGGTGACTCTAAACGGCCAGCTATTCATCCGGGTCCCTCTCGAGCAATCTGACTAAAGCCGGGTTTCGCAGTTTTTCCTGCAACACAAACTAAACAAGCCAACTTCAGCCTCACTCACGACCACCAGAAAGTGGGAAGAGATCTGATGAGACACACAAGCTAGAACTAATTCTGAGTCTTTTGTTTTTGGTCTTGTATTGTAAGTTTTCCTTTGTCCATAGGAATGAACATTACAAGATGAAGAAGAAGAAGAAAATAATGATAATTTAGAACTTTCAGAGGCTGAAAGAGAGTTCATGAAGACAATTGTGTGGGGATAAGATGTTGAAAAGCATCTTTGTATCAATGGGTAGTTTACATTGTTATGTTTTCACAGAATCCATTTGGCTTGCAAGAAAGACATTCACAAAAGTGATTCTCTTCCTGTTTTTCTTGACATTCTATGCTTCGTGCCAAAAACATGTTCTTGAACCACTTCTGTTTTTTCCCCATCAAAAAAAAAAAAAAATCGACCGCCTTTGAGGTTTTTTTTTTTGAGGGAAGAGATTCGAATTAATACAGAGCGAAAATAATTACAATACATTAACTTTAGGTGGATAGAGAGATGAGCAGATTTAAAGCTTTGTTAACCAAAGCACGAACCTTTGTACGATTCGGCTCCACCGTCTCCTCCTCCTCCTCAGCTCTTCCGCCTCCGCCGCCGTTTTCATCCGCCGTAGCCGCCATGGATGGCATCGAGACCCAACACACGAAGCTATGCATCGTGGGCAGTGGTCCGGCTGCTCACACGGCGGCGATTTACGCCGCGAGAGCGGAGCTGAAGCCTCTACTCTTCGAAGGATGGATGGCTAATGATATCGCTCCAGGCGGTCAACTCACCACCACCACCGATGTCGAGAACTTTCCCGGCTTCCCCGATGGCATCCTCGGCGGTGAGCTCTGCGATCGGTTCCGGCAGCAGTCGCTCCGATTCGGCACCACCATCTTCACCGAGACGGTCTCTAGGGTTGATTTCTCCGCCAAGCCGTTCAAGCTCTTCACCGACTCCAGGACCGTCCTGGCCGATGCCGTGATCGTCGCGACGGGAGCCGTCGCCAAGCGGCTTCACTTCCCCGGCTCCGGCGAGGGATCCGGAGGTTTCTGGAACCGCGGGATCTCCGCCTGCGCTGTCTGCGATGGAGCCGCGCCAATTTTCCGGAACAAACCTCTCGCGGTCATCGGCGGGGGCGATTCGGCCATGGAAGAGGCGAATTTCCTCACCAAGTACGGATCCAAGGTTTACATAATCCACAGGAGGGACGCGTTCAGGGCGTCGAAGATCATGCAGCAGCGAGCGTTGTCAAACCCTAAGATCGAGGTGATCTGGAACTCGGCGGTGGAAGAGGCATTCGGAGATGGCGAGAGAGGCGTCCTCGGAGGGTTGAAGGTGAAGAACTTGGTAACGGGAGAAGTCTCAGACTTGCCGGTCTCCGGACTGTTCTTCGCCATTGGCCATGAGCCGGCGACGAAGTTCTTAGGCGGGCAGCTCCAGCTTGATGCAGATGGTTACATAGTGACGAAGCCGGGTACTACCCAGACAAGCATCGCCGGAGTTTTCGCCGCCGGCGATGTCCAGGACAAGAAGTATAGACAGGCAATCACAGCTGCGGGAACTGGTTTGTTCTGTGCTTCGATTTACTTTGTCTCTTGATATTTCATGAGTCCAAGAGTATATATAGAGACAGACATTAGCTAGATAGCGTTAGCGATGAACTTAGGCCTTTTGTTTGGAAGTTCTTCTCAAGAGAATGAGTCCCATCCCGTTTTGCATCAAGTTGGTTTCTTTTGCTCGATTTCATGAACCCTTTTGCGGTGTTATCCGCATGCTGCAAGTTGAGGCCATTCCACATGATGTGCTTCACTTGACAATGGAATTTGGGGCATGGTTTTTTCAGACTGGTCTCTGTCTGATGTCTTCCTAGGTTCTTGTCTTTGTCCATGTCCTCTTTTCGGTTCGGGTGAGTGCAGGTTACCTCGTATTGTCGATTGATTGTAGGAAGCATTTTTCGTCGTGAGGTCCCTATTATCACGAAATGCTTGCACTCTGTAATTAGTTTGTGCTCAATGCCTTCTAGAAATGAGCCATGCTTTCCCTGATTTGTATGGAGGATTCACTGTTTAGTAAGTTGGCCTCTTCCATTGGAAGCCAGTTAGTCTTTCTTAAGTGAATTTCGATTTAGCTAATGACATGTTGTCTCTCTTCTTGAGGGGCAAACGGGCAACAGTCTCTTATGCCGATTTTGAGTCCATGATCTTATAAATATCGGTCGGGAGGAAAATCCAGACCAAGAACAACTCAGAAATCTCTGTCTCTGCATATTCTGATTGAACTATTAACCGGGTTTACATTGTTTGGTTAATTAGTTGTTGGTTTACTGACATTTTCTCTTGGTTTAGCAGACAAGTCTGCGAGTCTATGTACATGCTCCATTTTTCTGTTTCGTAGGCTTTATAGAAAATAGGTTACAGGTCATTTTCGGGATCGCTCCCCACTTGATTCTTTTTGTATTCATGGCTGTATATATATGAGTGTAAAGAGCAAGAGCAATACACAGAGAAAATTTCGACATTGCCTTCTCTTTCCGAAAAACACCAAAATGGTATCAGAAGCCTAAACCCTCTTCTTCTCCTCGCTCTCGGCATTTCTTTTATTCCTCTTCTTCTTCTTCATTGTCACCATGACTGACCCAGCGACGCCTGTCTCTTCTGCTACTACTTCTGCCCCTTCTTCTGATCTCCCTTCTTCCCCTCGAGATCCCTATTCTGATCCCTTATTTCTTCATCCTGCTGATTCTTCCAGTTTACTTTTGGTTTCTGAAAAACTGGTGGGAGAATCAAACTACAATCTCTGGTCCCGGTCTGTGATCAAGGCCTTGACGACAAAGAACAAGCTCGGTTTTATTGAGGGAACTATCCCTAAACCTCTCGAGACACATCCTGACTATGGATCTTGGTCACGCTGCAACGCTTTGGTAGGAACCTGGCTTACCAACTCTCTTGCTCCAGACATTGGAAGCCTGGTACTCTACCTTGATGATGCTCTGACGATATGGCAGACCTTGGAAACACGCTTCAAACAGAGTAATGTTTCTAAAATCTTTAATGTTGAGCAGAAAATAGACACCCTTCATCAGGGTTCTATGGATCTGAACTCATTTTTCACTAAGCTCAACTCCTTGTGGGAAGAGCTTAAGAACTATGAGCCATATCCGGTATGTTCTTGCGGTGGCTGCAGCTGCCAAGCTCACCAGAAGTTACTCGACATCCTTGACCGTCGTCAGGTTGTTAAGTTTCTGATGAAACTTAACGAGTCTTACACCCAGATTCGTCGCCACATCCTCATGCTTGAACCCCTTCCAACTTTGCCCAAAGTTTTTAACCTCATATCTCAGGAAGAACACCACCGTAACTTCATTTCCCCCCCCTCTGAAACTATGGTTTTTCAAACCTCTATCCCCACTTTTCCTAAAAACAGACCATCCCACCCTACTACAACCACAGCTCGCTCTCGCCTTCATTGTACCCACTGTGGTTTATCCGGCCATACTATCCATCGCTGTTATAAATTACATGGCTACCCAAACTCTCCTCGTAGCCTTGCACCTTCAAACAAACCCCCCCTTCTTCCACGCCCAAAGTTTTATCCTGATCCAAGACCTCATTCCTCTGTTAACCTGGTTTCTCAACAACCCAACCCCTCACCCATCTCGGAAAATTTCTCTCCTGCATCCTCTTTAGCCAAAGCCCAAGTTCTGTTTGAGCAGTTTCAGTCGCAGATCAAGAATCTTGGCATTTCCTCTACGGAATCAGGCATGACAGCTTCTACCTCGACTCTACCACCTCCATCTCCAGGTATATCTTCTCCATTCAACCCTATTTTATCTATTTTCAAACCCTCTTACCCTGTTACCAAAAACGTCTGGATCATTGATAGTGGAGCCAGTAGCCATATATGTTGTGATTTTCGATTATTTGCTGATCTCCAATATATCTCTCCTGTCACTGTTACTCTTCCTAATGGTGACACGTTCCTTGTCCGTCAATCTGGTACTGTTTTCCTTTCTCCCTCTCTTAGTCTATCCTCTGTTTTGTTTGTACCTTTTTTTTGCTTCAACCTCTTGAGTGTCAGTGCACTTACTCGTGACACACCTCTCACTGTTTCCTTTTTCAATGATTCCTACCTTATTCAGGACCCTACGCGGGCCTTGACGATTGGGAAGGGTAGTCATACAAACAACCTTTACATCTTGGAGGTCCAGGAATCTTCATCCCCTGTTTTGCAGTTTCCTGGTTCTTTTTGCACGGCTGTTTCAACCTCCAATGATGCTCTTTGGCACCAGCGTTTGGGACACCCATCATCTTACCGAGTTCATGCAACAGATCAATTTTCTCAGCCCACTTTTACATCTGCAAATGGTTCTAATTATGATTGTTCCATTTGCCCTTTAGCCAAACAGTCTCGGCTTTCTTTTCCTGTTGGCGGGCATAGATCCGTTGCTCCTTTTGTTCTTATTCACCTTGATGTATGGGGTCCATTTCATCTTCCAACTTATGATGGTTGTAAATACTTTCTTACTATAGTTGATGACTATTCTCGTTTGACTTGGATTTTCATGCTTTCCTCAAAGTCTGATGTTTCTTTGCGTTTCCCTGAATTCTTGGCCTATGTTGAAAATCAATTTCAGACTTCTGTTAAAGAGATTCGATCTGATAACGCTCCCGAGTTATCCTTCACCACTTTACTTCGATCCAAAGGCATCATTCACCAACTCTCTTGTCCTTATACTCCTCAACAAAACTCCGTTGTTGAGCGCAAACATAGACACATCCTTAACGTTGCCCGTTGTCTTCTTTTCCAATCGAATTTACCTCTTCCTTATTGGGGAGAATGTGTTAAAACCGCTATATACCTCATTAATCGCACCCCCTCTCGTTTACTCGACAATAAAAGTCCATATGAACTACTGACAAACACACAGCCATCTTATACCCATCTTCGCTCTTTTGGATGCCTTTGCTATGCTTCTACTCTAACCCCAAACCGCCATAAATTTTCACCTCGTTCAGCCCCATCTGTTTTCATTGGTTATCCCTCGGGTGTCAAAGGATACCGTATACTTAACCTGGAAACCAATGCTATATCCATATCTCGGGACGTTATCTTTCATGAATCTACTTTTCCATTTCATACTAAACCTGTTTCTGATCAATCTTTACATTTTTTCCCCAGTATACCTATCTCATCTTACTATATATATGATGATCTTACTCCTCTGTCTTCCCTTTCAAATTCTGCTCTTTCTGAGTCTGGTCCAAAGAAACTACAGGCACCATCTTCTACAGTTTCTTCTAGTTCTTCCCCTGTTTCTGTTCCTTCTGAGATTATTGCTGCTCCTCAAAATAATCGAAAATCACAACGACTTCCAAAGGCTCCTGCCTATTTAGCAGATTATCACTGCTACCTTTTGTCTCATGACAATCCTCCTACCTCAACCCATGTTACCAAACACCCACTTTCTGATCATCTCACCTACACTAAACTTCTCCATCCCTTTCGCACCTTTGCTCTTTCGATTATAACCAAACCTGATCCTAAAACCTTTTCCCAAGCTGTCAAGTCTGATTCCTGGAGAAATGCCATGAAGCTTGAGCTCGATGCCCTGTCTCGAACAAATACTTGGACTTTTTGTCCCTTACCACCTGATAAACAAGCAGTGGGATGTAAATGGGTGTATAAGACTAAGTTTCAGGCTGATGGCAGTGTTGAGCGTCTTAAGGCTCGTTTAGTTGCGAAAGGGTATACTCAACTTCAGGGGATTGATTATACTGATACTTTCAGCCCAGTTGCAAAGCTTTCTTGTGTTCGTCTTCTTCTCGCCATTGCTGCTTCTCAGAATTGGATAATCAGTCAGTTAGATGTTTCCAATGCCTTTCTGAATGGAGATCTTCATGAAGACATTTACATGCTTCCACCTCCTGGGTATTCCGAGATTCAGGGGGAGTCTCTTCCGCCTTCGACTGTCTGTAAACTTAATAGATCGATCTATGGTCTTAAGCAGGCATCGCGTCAATGGCATTTGAAACTTTCGGCTGTGTTACTATCTGCTGGCTTCATCCAGTCTAAATCTGATACTTCCCTCTTTACGCAACACTCTGTCTCTGGAATTGTTGCAGTGCTCATTTACGTTGACGATATCCTTGTCACTGGGAATGATCAGATGCTTATTGAATCTGCTAAACTATTGCTTCAGCAGAATTTTATGGTAAAGGATCTTGGCCCTCTTCGATACTTTCTTGGTATTGAATTTGCTCGGTCCTCTGCAGGCCTACATCTATGTCAGCGCAAGTACACTCTTGAATTGCTAGAGGAATATGGATTTCTAGGGGCTAAGCCAGTTTCGACCCCACTTGATACTAAGGAGAAACTAAGTCTAGATTCTGGTGAACCCCTCTCTGATTCAACTTACTACAGGCAACTGATAGGGAAACTGGTCTACCTTTCAGTTACTCGCCCAGACATATCATTTGCTATAACCAAGCTCAGTCAATATATGGCGAAACCAAGATCTGCTCATCTTCATGCAGCATTTCGTGTTTTACGGTATCTGAAGAATGCTCCTGCTCAAGGCCTTCTCTATCCTGTCTCCAGCTCTTTATCCCTCTCTGCTTTCTCTGACGCAGATTGTGCCGCTTGCCCAGACTCACGTCGCTCGATAACAGGTTATAGCATTTTTCTGGGCAAATCTCTTATCTCATGGAAAGCTAAGAAACAGGCTACTATCTCCCGTAGCAGCGCCGAAGCAGAGTATCGTGCTCTGGCTCAAACTACTTGTGAACTCTTATGGTTGTCCAAGCTTCTGTCTGATCTGCGCTTTACTGTCGATACTCCAATCAATATCTTCTCTGACAGCCAATCAGCTATACATCTTGCAAACAATCCAGTCCACCATGAGCGAACAAAGCATGTGGAAATCGATTGCCATTTTATTCGGGATCATGTTTCGTCTGGGTTCATCAAACCAATTTACGTATCCTCGAAGGAGCAAGTTTCAGACATTCTCACTAAACCAACTGCAGCTGATCATCTTCATCATCTCCTCTTCAAGATGGGAATACAAGATTTGTATTCTCCATCTTGAGGGGGAGTATTAACCGGGTTTACATTGTTTGGTTAATTAGTTGTTGGTTTACTGACATTTTCTCTTGGTTTAGCAGACAAGTCTGCGAGTCTATGTACATGCTCCATTTTTCTGTTTCGTAGGCTTTATAGAAAATAGGTTACAGGTCATTTTCGGGATCGCTCCCCACTTGATTCTTTTTGTATTCATGGCTGTATATATATGAGTGTAAAGAGCAAGAGCAATACACAGAGAAAATTTCGACATTGCCTTCTCTTTCCGAAAAACACCAAAATGAACTTTCCTTCAAATCTCGTCTCTGTTTGTCGTTTTTTTTTGTGATAAAGCAACAAGCTCTGTGTCAATGGCGCAGGATGCATGGCGGCTTTGGATGCCGAGCATTACTTACAGGAGATGTGATCTCTGGAAGGAGGAGAGCTGCTCTTCCTAGTGGCGGCTTTGATGTCAGAAACAGTCAAGGGACAATACTTAGTTTATGCAAACTGTTTGCACTTCTCTAGATTTGTTTCAGGTGATTTTATTTTATATTTTTTTATATTTCAGTGACATCGTGAAGCCAAGAATATTGTTATTGTTATTATTATTATTATTATCATATGTACTCTTGGAATTACTTTCAAATATGTATTCATACATATTAAATATTGCCCAGAAAGAATACACTAATGACTGAATTTGAAGTGATTATATTACATTCTATTACATAGGAACTCTACAGTTCAGATTTGCCACGTAGGATCACAAGTGGAGTGTTTTCTGACAGGTCATGGGAAGTGAAGCCCACGTGACAAATATTTAGTCCCTCCCAAATCCCAATCATCGGTCTAATTATTAACAAATTATTTTTTATCATTATTGATGCAACAAATACACACAAGGACTAATAACACTTTTTCTTGAAAAATAAACGGTTATTTTAATTTATCCATCCGGATATCCAGGTGGGTCCCGAGGATCTGCCAGCTGGATACAGGTGACGACAGACATATCGGCCCGACACGTGTCCCTCTCACACATGGCGTTTTCTCCCGTCTCTAACCGTTTTTTTTTCTTGGCTTTAACAATAACCGCCACTTTTGGGGTAATTAATTACTCTTTAATGTTAATTATCGTTTTCGTAATTGGTTATCTGTCTTTTCATTTATTTTTTACGTGTAGTAATAGTAATAATATTTTTTAACCGTTCCCAGAAAATTAAGAAAAAAAATGAAGCAGCACCTCTTGATTTCTCCTTTTTTTCAGTATAATGACCCTTTGTTTAATTTTTGTTGATCCCTATAACATTCTGAATGCATTCTTTTAAAATTAATAAATTTGTTTTAAATAAAAATAAATTACATCGTATACTTTAGCAGTTTTTTTTTGTTTTTTCTTTATTATTTATTTATAGGGTGATTAAAATATAAAAAATACGAGAAAAATAAGGGGAATATAAGAGGAGTGTGTATGTAAGGAACGTGACGTACGAGTCCATGGATAAACCGACAGGTCACCATCCACAGTTTCACGTTATTTCCGTTCGCAACCTTTTTTTACACAAAAAAAAAAAGATATATTAAATTTCTGAAATGGATCACCTTTATATTTCTATTTAAAAACATGAAAATAAGGAAAAAAGAGGCATATAATATCAATTAAATTAATGATGGTAGTAATTAATAATATAATGATATAGAGGCAGAGAAGAAGAAGGAACTGCCAGAAGAAGGAGAAGATCGAAAAAAAAATTTGACAGAGAGAGAAACAGACAGAGAGCGATGGAAACAGCTGGATTTCTGCAACGAATCGGGAACGTCTGAGTTTCTACATAAACCCACCTCTCTCTCTCTCTCTCTCTGTGTTTTCTCTCCTTCGTTGTTCGAGATTCGCAGTCAAAGTTTCGGTTTTTCACTTCTGGGTTCTTCGTATTTTCAACTCTGGAACCGTGGATTCTTCGGAAATGGAGAAGCGTTTGGAATCGACGGACCAGGTGGTGGAGGAGATCACGAGGATTCACAGATCCTTGCCGCCGAGGCCTGGGGTTGACGAGGTTGAAGCAGCGAGGGCTCTGATGCAGGACGTGGAGAAGGAGGAGCAGGCGCGCTTGGAAGCCATTGCTGAGCAGACGACAGGCTCCGAGGTTCCTGAGGAGCTTTTCATGGTGTTGCGGGAGATGAAGAAGGGCCTTGTTTGCTTTCAGAGCAAAGAACAGAAGAGGGAGGCTCTGAAGCTCCTCGATCTGGAATCCGTCCACGCTCTGTTCGACGATTTGATTCAGAGAGCTTCAAGTTGCGTTTCTTCTCCTCCTTCCTCCAACAATTCTGCTCCTGCTCGGCCTCCGCCGGGGGCTCCGTCGCCCGCACCGGCTTTTTCTGCATATTCTCCGACAAGTTTGAGTTTTTCCGACAAGGGGCATGTTAAGTGCAAGGAGCTCTTCACACGCGACGATAGCTACGTTACAAAGGCCAAATCTTCGATTTACAGCGACGGTGTTGTAGCCACTCGCAAACCCCAGATTCTGGATTCAACGCTTCAGTCCGGTAACGTCTCTTGCGAGTTCGAATTATACGACCCTTCTTCCCTGTCTGTCCATTGATTCCGACCGATACGTTAAGTCCGAAGCTTGTCATGATCAATTGATAATCTATCTTAGGATGTTCCAGATATGATATAGTGTTTGAACTCGAACAGCTGAGGCCAAACTCAATGGATTAGTGTTTTAACATGACAGATAGTGTTTTCGATGTTCTTGGTTTCTCTGTGAATCGAATATATTCGTTTCTAACTTTGATGGAATCATTATTTGTGTAGGCCAAGATGGGGAGAAGCTGAGTTTGATCAAATTTGCAAGCTTGATCGAGGGATCGGTTAAGAAAGGTACTCAGGCTCTAAATCTGCAGAACAAACTGATGGATCAAGTTGAGTGGCTTCCGGATTCTATAGGCAAGTTATCGAGCCTGGTTACGTTAGATTTGTCTGAAAACCGTATCGTGGTATTGCCAAATACCATAGGAGGCCTTTCGTCCTTGACGAAGCTCGATTTACATTCTAACAGTATCTCTCAGCTCCCCGACTCTATGGGAAATTTGTTGAACTTGGTCTATCTTAATCTTAGTGGAAACCGGTTATCGTCTCTGCCATCCTCGTTGAGCAGATTGGTACGTCTAGAGGAGATTGATTTAAGCTCCAACAGCCTCTCTATTCTTCCTGAATCTATTGGTTCTCTCATCAGCCTCGAGAAACTCGATATCGAAACCAATGATATTGAAGAGATTCCACATACTATTGGCGGGTGTTCTTCGTTAAAAGAACTCCGTGCAGATTATAACAGACTTAAGGCTCTACCAGAAGCTATCGGGAAGATAACTACCTTAGAGGTTCTGTCTGTCCGTTACAACAACATCCGACAGTTGCCCACGACAATGTCATCTTTGTCCAACCTTAAAGAGATGGATGTGAGTTTCAATGAGCTCGAGTCAGTTCCAGAGAGCTTATGCTTTGCCACAACGCTTGTCAAGTTGAACATCGGGAACAATTTCGCAGATATGCAATCACTCCCGAGGTCAATCGGTAATCTCGAGAATCTTGAAGTATTGGATATCAGCAATAACCAGATCCGGGTCCTCCCGGATTCCTTCAGAATGCTTGCACGGTTACGTGTTCTCCGTGCTGAGGAAAATCCCCTCGAAGTACCTCCCCGGGATATAGCTGAAAAAGGCGCTCAGGTTCTGTATCTATCTCCATCTGCTCTCTCCCCTCCTTTCGATCCATATTACTGCCCTCTATGGAGGTCCTGCTCTTTGAAACTTGCAGCTGATTCATGTGTTTCGACCGTATTTCCAGGCGGTTCTTCGGTATATGACTGATCTCGTTGAGAAGAGAAACACGAAAACTCAAATGGTTAAGCAGAAAAAGAGCTGGGTCCAGATGTGTTTCTTCTCCAAATCCGACAAGAGAAAACGGAACGGAATGGAGTTTGTATAAACCGAATTGATTCCGACCCGGATCATAAGGTATGGTTTTTCTTACATTTGAAATAACTAACACCAATCCAACACCATGGCTGAATATGACAGACACATTTTTTCCCGTTTACAGGTAATTCAGTTACAACTGTCGCCGCCATTGAGGCATTTGATCTCCAAGAACTGTAGATGCCCTTATTCTTTCTTTCTTTCTCATTTGCATGCACCATTCTTAATTACAGTTTCATGCATACATCTATATATATATATATATATGTGTGTGTGTGTGTGTATATGTATACACGTATGTATACTCGTTTTCTTTGGTTTCCCGTTTAGGACTGAACTTGGACAGCAAATTCAGACTCGCCCCCCTTGTAAAAATCGAGGTTTTTTTACAGTTACCCTTCTCTGTTTTTATGGTATCTGCAACTGCATTTGCTCAAAACTCCACTGTCAGAGAAGTGAAACAAGATTAAGGGTAACATATATATATATATATATATGCACATGATTGATTATTATACACGTGTGCGTGTGTATGTATAGATAGGGACGTGATGTTTGATGCCTCTTGTTGAGGAGAGACATGAGTTGGACACCAGCCAATGAACATGATGTTGTCTGTCTCTAAGCCAGTGATGTGATGGTACCGTTTTTAATTAATGCCATTTTTAAGCTCTCATACACATACATACATACATGATACATACATACATATGTATCACTTATACACGTGAGCGAAGCTGTGTCTGTATTTATGGACCAACCATTGGAATTGGCTTTGATAGGAAAAAAGGATTTAAAAAAAAAGAGAGAAAGATAAAAGAGAAACAATGGCAAAAATTGGGGGTTTAAGATGTTATGACCAACCATTTTCCCAAGTGTATCATTTTAGTTTCATTCTATAAAGATTATGATTTTTTTTTAACAGGGAGAAATTTATACCAAAATGAGTGAAAACGAAATTCCAAATAAATTTGGGACCAAGACGATGTTGATATTGACAAGCGAGAAATTTATAATGTATTTGAAAATCTTCCGATGGATCTTCTATTTCGAACCGGGCCACGTGGGTCCCACTTGCGAGGCGTTTGTGATGGCAGTCGAACTGTTATGGGCCGTCTCTAGGCCCAATTCTGCACAAAAGTGATCGAGGTCCATAATTACAAATTTGCCTTCTCAGAACACGTGGGTCCCACGTGCGAGGCTTAGAGCTTCGGGTTCAGTCGACCTGTTATGGGCCGTCTCTAGGCCCAAGTCCGCACAAAGTTGGCCTAGGTCCATAATTAAATATCTTTTTCTTATTTTTGGACACGGACTTTCCCCCCACCGGTGGAACTGCAGCCGTAAGGTTTGAGTTCGTGTTGCAAGTACAAAACCTAGTCCGTTAACACGTGGGTAAAACGAAACTTCGTTCTCTTGTGCACGGGATTGGGTATTAATTTCTAATAGAGTAAAAAAAACATCCATCATCGATTTAATTTTCTAAAAAAAAATTCTTATAAAAGTACATTGGCAAGACCATTAACTATTTAAATTACTAAAAAAAACTTCTACTGTAAATTTATTATAAAAATCCACCAATTATTTATTTTAAATAGAAAAAAAAACAATATTTTTATTTTAGTTCTATATAATTATTTTATATAGAAATTATACACTATACAATATTTCATTTGCTATTTTTTAAATAAAAAATCGAACCAACTTCTAACAAAAAAAAAATCGAAGCGAACATTTTTAACTATTAATAGATCACAAATATTATCAAATATAAAACTATAAATTAATTCGATAAAATACACTTAATTTTAAGTATACAATTTGTATACAAACTCATAACATGAAAGATGTATATAAATTATATTATACAATTCTAAATATCGTAATAAAATCTAAATATCTTTTATACAAATTCTAAATTATATGATACAATTCTAAATATCATTTGAAGTGAAAGATTTTGTAAGTAAATTATATAATTGATGATGTTTTATAATAATTTTTTTGTTAAATTATTACAATAAATTTTAAAGTAAAAGATTATTTTAATATATTAGATACATGACGATCTGTTTAAAGTTTATACCTTTTATCTATCTATTTGGGTTTCACATCTCATAATTTATATACGATTAGTTAAACAGTAGTTTTATCTAGGATTCTCTATTATCGTGTAACCTTAACTACCTTAGGTTTGCGGACAAAAAAAAAAATTATTGTATAGTTCGTACTGTTCGTAGTATAAACAAAGAGGGTATATATTATATATATATGTGATATTTTAAATACGAATTCAAATATAAAATAAATATTTTTTAGAAAATGTTTTTATCAATAAAAACTAAAATCTAAATCGTATTCAAATTAAATATGATATAAAACGTGAGTAATATAATTATTGTAAAATCTAAAAACATCTACTTCAAAAAAAAAAAACCAAACTAATCCAAAAACCGAAACGTCCAAACCCTATAGGCAAAAAGGGGATAAGACCGCCCATGTGCTTCCTTAGATTATGCCTCTTCCAATGAAAGACAAAAAGTGAAACATAAAGCACATAATGTGCGTGTGCATTTTATATATATATATATTAAAAGATAATGATGGTATTATCCGCAGAAAATACGGATTTTGTTTTTGTTATGTTTACATATATATATATATATATATATATATATATTACGTATACATTGAATTTAGGATATCTCATATTCATATATACATGCATAGTCGGTTGGCATATTGAACTTTATGTCCAAGTCGCTTATTCCTAGTACCACTATTAGACAATCATCTAAAACTTTTACTAAATAGAAATATTAATATTAAAAAAATAATCAATACATCCATTTTCGTAAAATACTTGTCAATATCATAGCATAGAAAAAGAAGAATCTAGTACACATCGAAAGAAATATTTAACAAATGGAATTTGTCTTTTAAATCGAGAGAATATTTAGAGCCTAAAGCGCCAAGTGTTTGTGAAGGTAAGTCTTTGACTACAAGGAATAAAAATTTATACATATGGTTTTCATATTTTTAATATATGCTATTAAAAAAAAATGAAATGAAATCGACTCTAATGATTTCAGATTTCGATTTAATATTATTAAATATATTAAATGGGCAATTTTTTTGGTATATTTTTATTTTCGTAATTCAGTTTTATTCTATGTAATAATAAGAAAAGAAATACCAAAATGGACTACACAAAGACATAAAATAGATTTCTCTAATCTGATGAAATTCTCTCTATACAAATACTTCGTAAAGAATTACCCAATAAAAATCGTCAAGGAAGAAACGGGGGGATCACGGTGGTGAGCTGCGGCGGCGGAGGCGGATGCTGGTGGTGATCGTGCGCCGCTTTGATCTCGCCATCAGCCACCGGGACGTGGCCGCACCGATCGCACCTCACCGGCACTAGAATCCGGCGACACGACGGGCACGACGACCTCGAAGAGAGCCACCTGTCGATGCACGCCACGTGGAAGGCGTGGCCGCAGATAGGCAAAACCCTAATTTCCTCGCCGTCGGCGAAGTCCGCCAGGCAGATCGAGCAGTCGGTGACCGAGTGCGACTCGGCGGAGAAGGCGAGTCTCGGGATCGACTCGAGAGCTTTCTTCTTCAGGCCTTTCCTCGGCGGCGGCGGAGGAGGAGAATCGCCGGTGAATCGGTGGATCCAGGAGCAGCGAGCCACCGCGACGAGGCCGACGACGCAGATTAGGGCACAGAGGAGAGCCGAGAGGATGACGACCATGTCGGACTCCGCCGCCATGGACTCTTGCTCCGGCGCCGGCGCCGCCGTCTCCAGGATTCTCGAGGGCCGAGTCATGGCTGTTAAGGAAGAGAGGGAGAGAATACTGTTCTCACTGTGAGGAAGAATCTGATCCAACTTCTACGATAGAGACAATGGCGACAGCAGATATATACAATTACATTATCTGTAATAAAGATAGACAAAATTAATTAATACATAATTATTAACCATTATATTAAGCAAAAGGGGACAAATGTTATATGACAATTTGTAGGAATAAAACAACATATTTTAAAATCCATGGAAAAGATCACTGAGATCGGTATTAAGGAATGGTATATCGACACGTGTAATTAATCCCGACAGTACTATCCGAGATTATAATATCCATAAAATTACTTAGCTTTATCTTTTTTTTTTTAAATATAAAAATCTATAAATACAAAAACAAAATAGTAAAAATAAAAATGAAGCCTCTAAGAGTTGGGCGTTTCTTATTGAACCGTATTAAATAAAAAAATATCATATTTTTTTATTTTAAATTGGATCGTTTAAAATTTTTGAATGATATATTTTTTTTAGAAATCCGAATTTTTTGAAACTAAATCGATATTCAAAAATTCAAAAAAACTATTTTTTTAAAAAAAATCTATTTTTTTACTGGAATCAAATATAAAATATTAATCAATTGGTATATATTTTTATAAAATCAAAAAAATCGAAACGAATACCGAAACATCCATGAACAGCTTATAACTCCATTTTGTAAGAAAATACAAAACACAAAATACGAAAAAAAAAATGAAATGAATTGGAAGAATTAGACAATTAATGAATTCATTCCCATGCCTAACTTTCTGAAAAAAGCTTATAACAACATGCTACTCTACTCTAGTCATGTGTACCTTAGTTTTTATTATTATTACAAAAAAGAAGGGACCAATAATTTAAATTGGACACCACAAAAGAAACAATGATAAGAGAGAAAAAAAAAAGAAGAAAAGTTGATTAAAACATATTAAAAAATGATTAAATATAAGTTTTATGTCCTGAAAAAAAGACATTTTTTTAATTCTTAGTTAAAGATAGGTTGGTGGGGTTTTTTGTTGTAATGTCTCATCTTACACAAGGAAAAAAAAAAAAGTAGATTGTCTCATCTCTCACATGCATGTGCTTATGTCCCTACACTTTTTCTCTATTATTATTATTTTTTTTTAATTTTCTTTGCTTTCTTTCTAAAGATTTTTTTTTTTTAATTCGGAAGTTTGAGGTTTCGTCCCAATCACATTATATAGCCTATGTACCATAATTAAATTGTGCACTTTCTCTCCAACCGTTGTTTGAATATGAGATATGAGATAAAAACAGCTCGTATATTTTTCAACAATGCCACCACGGATTAAATTTGTTTTCTAAAGATTATCCTATAAATCTCTAGTAAAAGATGAAACCCAACTCGCGATTTATTTATTAACGACAATTGAATCGATAATTTGAAAACTCGCTTGAAAAAGAGTTTGACGAGTCATGAGATGACTTGCGAATTGAAATGATTTTTTTATTATTCTTATTTTGTATTTTATGAAAAATTAATATTTAATTTAATTTTTTATTTGATGTGTATATTTTTTTTATAAACTTAAAGAATGAAGTTTTAATATTTAAATCGTATATTAAAAATATTATTTATTTGGTATTTTTTATAACATTGAATAAAAATATCATATTTTTTTATAACTCGGCTCGTTTAGATAGTTAAATAGATAATCCGAGTGAGTCGAAGTTTTTCTGGTTTTTTTGAAAACGAGTCTAACGAGTCAACTTATTTCGATCCGATTCTAATCGAGTCAAGTCGGCTCATTTGACACTGCTATAAAATCTCAAAGGCACGCAGGAAGAAAATGGTCATAGGGTATATATATATATATTCTGCAAAAAAAATATGTATATTTTCGAAAAAAAAATATGTATATTTTCCAAAGCTAGATATCTGTAAACATCGCAGTGACTGTCTTCATCGTGATTCTTCATGTGCTGCTGCAGGTTTGGCAGTGGAGAAATCGGTTCCATTGCTGGTTTCGCCATTATCGTTTTCTATCTCGACGGCTTCAGTTTCTCGCTTACAGGGCTCGACCCTTACTGCAACAAGATCGAACCTTGGTGACAAAGGTTCGGTCTCTGCCTCAAGCTCTGACGACGCTCCATTGTCATGTCGGGTTGAGGAGTGGCCAGTGGTTTTGTAACGGTGTAAGGTTCGTCCCGACGAACGGGCCGTCGTTCCTCTCGGGCTTAGGCTTCCGTCCCCTAGCCTCCGACTCTCAATTTTCCCGTCTCCTTCCTTCCTCTTCTTCACCGTCATACGCCATTTCTCGAGCGCTTTTGACGTCTGTTCGTCGAACACGGATCTCTTCATGCGCGAACCCATCTGAATTCCGATACATTTTCATGGGTTTACGATCGTTTTTTTCACTTTCAGATCGAATACGGAAAAGAAGAGATGAATATGTGTATGTGTGTATATATATATACCTGAGTCAAGAGTGCATAGAGAGGAAGTGTGATGTAGCTGCAAAGGCATAAGACTCCAGTCCTGCAGTGAAGAATCAGGTTTTTCAAGTGCACGAGACTTCGTTTACACGTTATTACGATCTTCTTCTCTGTCTCGGGGCGAAACTCTTACCCGATAGATACTTTTATGATGGCGATCCTGAAGTCGGGATGGTAGCACGAGTCCGATGGAAAGGAATACTGCATCATCGCAAAAAAAACGGCAAGTCATATTCCTGTGTTCTAAGCTTCACAGGCGATTTTTCGGTTCTGGCAAAGCGAAGGAGTTCCAGATTATTACCCATATCCAGAAGAAATACGTGATCTGAAACGCGTTCTGGAAGAACCGTAAAGACAGAGATCAGTTCTAAAACATATATAAGTAAGCCGAGTCTCGTGTTCTATGATTCACATTAGAAGAAACTGTAGAGAAAGAACCTGAAATAAGGCGAAATGGATAAGGTGAAGAAGCAACTGAGGCCGACCAAACCAGAAATACCGGTCCGACCCTTGAACAAGCGGCATTCC